AAAGCATGAATATGACAGTAACACATCCTACACTCGCATTCTGACCAATACCTTATACGTCTCAACCATGAAAGATCTTAACCATCTCGAATTCCAAAAATCCCCTGAACTTACACTGCAAATTCCTCCGACCCATTACACTGTAACCATCAAAATCAATCCGACTGCTAACCCTCCAAGCAGAACACTCATGTCACTCTCACCTAGGGCTCACACTATCACTGATTGTCGCTTCCCGAGCTGACGCCTACAACCGGCTTAACCATATACCCTTCTAACACGATTCTCGGTATGCAAATGGCATATGAAAAACCCTCGAATAAAATAACTAGATAATCATAAAGAAACTTAGATTCTTAGGTGGAGACTTAACTAAACCGAACATAACGTCTCACACACAAAATTACATGATCATAAGCATAAATAATAAAAGCATGAAGGAAGAAAATACGATACATACCTGCAATAACATCTGATGGAACTCGGGTCTCTTCGGCATGCAACTGAAATACTCGGCTCCTCATCCTTGGAGCCTCCGCCCTGTCCTTGAGACCATCAATAATCCTCAGTGTATCTGGAACAGGTTCCATCACCACTCCACTCATCAACCTCGGACAGTCGGCCTTCTTGTGGCCCACCTGATTGTAGTGAAAACAAATCGGTCTCGAACCCCGTGGACAATCCCTGCTAAAATGATCAGCTTGGACGAAACAGAAGCAACCACTTCCTTTCTCACAACAAATACCGTCGTGAGTCCTCACATACTTGGCACAATTGTCCTGGCCCTGATGGCCTCTCGATCGCGAATCCTCAGTCTTGAGCCTCTTCGCCTGGCCCACTGCGGTCGGAACCTGCTCTGGCCAGCGCTTCGTCCGAAGCTGTAGCTCAATCTCCCACTCCCGAGCTCTAGCGATCATATCATCCAAATTATTGCAGCTCGACAGGCTTACAAACTCCTAAATACCATCCCACAACATATCATGTGTAACACCCGGTTCCATGTAAACACTTTTTCTGAATCTCTGGTCAAATTCTTGGAGTTTTAACCCTAGTCACGATGTGAGCACTTACGTATCACGACGTGACCATGCTGGAAGGAAATGCATATACCCTTGAGAGTTATGACGTGGCTACTTATGGGTCACGACGTGAGACTTGTTGTGAGCCAAACTCTAATTTCGAGGATTTTTCCCATATTTAAAGGAAGTGATGGATAGGGTTAGCCCACCCTCAGCCTCTATCACCTCCTAACACTTCCCCTTGAAACCCTAATCCTCCATAGTTGATTTTGAGCTCCATTTGGGTGTTTTCTAGCCAAGAAGAAGGAGAGATAGAGATTGGTGCATCAAATCAACATTCAAGCTTCACTATCATCCATTTTCACACCTCCTCGGTCCTTGTGAGTTTCCAAGTTCAATGCTTTATGAGTCTATAAGCTTAGATCTAGGTTTTTATGCACAATCTTTCATGTCTAGGCTTAATTTAGTGATGGGGGTCCATAAAGTTGCCAACTTTACGGATCTCCAGTGTCCCTTTGATGGAATAAGTGTTGGATCTGAAGAATGGTTAGGTTTTGGGACTCTTGCATGAGATCCTAACCCCATTCTTTCCTTGTTTTGCCCTAGATTGTGTTTGGGACATGCATTGGACATGAATGTCCAAAAGTCTATGATTTTTATGGTGTTCTAGGATAGAGGAAGCCTTATGGAGGGTCTGAATTGCAAGGATTAATGGATTAAGAACTTATAACTCATTTCTGTCCAGAGCGTCGTCATAACGTGAGCACTTGGGTGTTACGACGCGACAATGGAAGATCGCGACTATTTTGTTTTATTAAGGTCACGACGTGACCAATAGATGGTCACTAAGGGATTACCTCACTAAGGTAAAAAAAACTCCATACAACGGATCCGCTCACTAAAGGATTACCTCCTTAGGTCTTTCACGGGCATACTACACACGTTGATGCGATATTTGGTTTTAGTGGGAGTTTTATGGTGTTTTATGTTTTATTTAAGAACAATTTTGTTTTTCTGTACAAAATTAAGAATTTGGTTAATTCCATTATTAATTACACTTATTTGAAGTTTGATCTCATTTCAATCTAAAGAGGAACTCGTTGGAAATCTATTTAGATTTTAAAACCACACATCATGTTTAATCTATCTCGTTAGTTATATATGTATATGTGACCATTGATAAGTTTAATTACATAAATTGTAGTGAAGACTGTTTTGATCCTATACTTATATGATTAGTGTACAAGATTGTTTAAGGGTACCAATACTATGATAAAATTCATTACAACGCTTATACAATTATATATACATTTATATATTCATGGTCCAGTGGGAGTTTGTTGGATTTTTTGGGACCACTAATAAATGTATATAAATAATATTATCATTAGTTTTATATTATTATGGAAATTATATAAAATTGTTGATGGATCAATTTTATTAATAAATAAAGATATACACTTACCATGTTTATCTTGTGGGTTGAGTTCCCAATTTGACTTAAGATCTCCTAAACCCCTAATATCTCTCACATTCAATTATATCTCCATCTATATAAATACATGATGAGAAGTAGATTTACAAGATACGAAAATACATACAAGAATTTCGTTTTAGGGTTTGCTGGGAGATTAAGAGAGTTTTTTAGATCAACTGGAAAGCCCAACCTGGTTTTTTAAATCCAAAGATCATAATGAAACAAATGTGTAATCGTTTTTTCATGCTTAACTTTTCTTTTAATCAGATTTGAAATTAAAATCTAAAGCTTCCGCGTTTATATTATGGTTATTAAAATAATCAACAAAACATACATCAATTGTAATATGATAAATAACCATAAATTAAATATTATTTTTATTTTTATTTTTGTGGCCTTGCATTCATTTTTTCCGGTCAAAACTTTAAAGCAAATCGACAAATATATAAAGGCCTAATCACCTTTGAAAGAAATTCACTAAATATAAGATATGTTTTATAATATCATTTTCATTGTCGTTTCTTAAATATTTAACATTCTTGAACTAAATTACCAAACACGTATTTTATATTTTGCGGAAAACTTATGGTTGTACAATATAGAAAACTTAGTTTACAATAGAAATAGATTTAACCATACATCAGAGTTATTTGTGAAAGAGAATATATAAAAACAAATTTTTATATGTGTTTTCTAATTTGGATAAATGAAAACGAATATGTAAATACAGAGAAAAATGTTTTGTAAAAATAAAAAATATTTTATAAAAATAAAAAATTTCTAAAGAACATACGTAAAAACAAAGAGAACTAGTATGTAAAAAAATGTTATATACTACCCCAATATAGACTCGAAACATATTTTTATATGTAATAGTTTGGGGACATGTTGTAACAAAATATCTAAAATTTAAATTTATTTTATTAAATACCATAAATATCAATTAATTACTATAAATGTTTTGTAAAAATAAAAAATATTTTATAAAAATAAAATTTTTCCAAAGAACATACGTAAAAACAAAGAGAACTAGTATGTAAAAAAAATGTTATATACTAACCCAATATAGACTCGAAACATATTTTTATATGTAATAGTTTGGTGACATGTTGTAACAAAATATCTAAAAGTACAATTAATTTAAATAATTTAAATATATCTTATTAAATACCATAAATATCAATTAATTATTATACTTTAAAAAACCATTCAGTTGTAATAGTTTAACCATAATAACTTTTAAAAAGTTGTAATATTACGAATCTACGATGGACTTTATAAATATAAATATGTGGTTTAAGTTAAATAATTATACCGACCTATGGTATTAGCATGATGACAATTATTACAAATTTATTAAACTTATAGTTTTTCTAATTATTTAACTATAACAATAATTAAAATAATACTAAACAAAAAATAACATATGGAATTACTTATGTAAAATCTACATATAGAAATTATTGAATATTGTTCAATATATATATATATATATATATATATATATATATATATATATATATAATATATATATATATATATATATATGAGTTCATAACAATTTCAATTTTATTTTATAAATTGCATTCAATAATAATAACTACTATAAATTTTCACTTTTAAAAATTTAATAAATGTCTAGTTTTTCATATGGTTCAAAATAATAAAAATATTATATAGTAAAAGAAATTATTTTTCCACAATGACAATTAGTTTATTTATAAGAATATATATTTTCTAATTCAAATTTCAACAGCATTACAACTAATTTATGGAAATTCAAATTTAAATTTTTGTTAAACTGTACAACAATATACTAAACATTTATGTATTATTTTGAATAACATAGTCTTTTAGTATTTTTAACTATGTAATTTATTTGTTGCGCAACGTGCAAGAATTCGTCTAGTTCTAAATACTCGAACGACTATCTAATAAAACTTATTTATTTATTATTTATTGATTATATAGAAATTTTAACAAATTCTGCATATAAAATTTATTTTCTTTGTTTTATTAGACTTTTAGATATGTAAATATCAATGTAAACATATAATGTATTATTGTTTCGAGTTTTACCTACGCGTGATGAGCTTTGGGACGTGTTTGACGATGTAGGTGGGGTTCAATTATTGTACAGACTAGAGGTGCACAAACACCGGTTTTAAACCTGTTCCTGTTTAAAAAAAATGTTTCTTTTAGAAAACCGGTTATAGGAAATTCGGTTTCGGTTTTTTTGGAAGAGAAATTTTATAAAAACATTGTTTTTTTGGGTTTAAAAACCGGTTCGGTTCGGTTTTTTTAGAAAAACCAGCAAAAAACCCAGTTTTCGATTAATAAAAACCACCGGTCCCTTACCAGCGGTTCGGTTTTATAAAAACCGGTTTTCAAATAACCGGTTCGGTTTTTTTCAATAGATTTAAAAAAAAACCGGTTCTCAATGTGAATCCTATCCTCTAGTACAAACTTTGTATATAAGGTTCGGTGCAATTATTTTAAAGACTATGTGCATCATAAAAATTTTCAATCACTTACTTTCTGTTTCAATTATTGTACTACTCCTGCAGCTTCATGTAAATCCTATCAATTTTCTATCACTTTTTTTTTCATTACCACTCTTTACTTTTTCATCTTCATTCATCAATTCGGATCACCGCCAATCATCCTCAAAAACTTCAAATCTGATCAGGTTAGTTTAGGTTTGTTTTCTACTACTGTTATGGATGTGAATTACTTGATGTATTTCATTAAGGGGTCTGCTTTTAATTAGTTTTTATTTTTTTGTGGAAATTGATTTTAACTTTTTAGAGCAACTCAACTTCTGAAATCTGAAGTATTAAGCCTTCAGTTTTTTAGAGCGCTATATTTTGGGTTTTAGCTATTTTTTATTGATTTATCAAGTTTACTTTACTTCCTTTATAAATGAAACCATATTTGAAATTTCCATAGTTCTGATATTCTTGTAAAATTAGCACAACATACTTTTAGAGTTTTGGTTCCAAAAAGTTTTTCATAGTTTTATACGACTATAACTTTTAATCTGTATCCCAATGGTTCTGATTAAAGTTTTAAATTCATGAAAAATGTTTTTCACTCACAAATCTACTTTGAACTCTTTGGGAGGAATAAAGTTATATGAATCCATGAAAAGCGTTGCTCGAATCTGAATCCTTAAGATATCCTCTTCCATTTTATTCCTATAATTTAACTTTAAGAACCAACGTCAGCAGTGGATGCTCTTAAAATGGATCAGTTGCTGTGTTAGAAAAGAGGGTAGAAACAAATAATGATTATCATTGGATTCTTCAAGGATTGTGTTAGTTCACTTTCCGAATCGATATTTCTCCACTCTGCATTACGAATTTACCTAGGATAATCCTTAAAAGAACCATTGATTTTCTAGGCACATAATATCAATCAAGAACTAGAGAGAATTTAGTGTGTAAAATCCGTATGTTTCAAAAACCAGAGAGAACACAATGTATCTCCACATTTGATCTTAACTGCATTTGGATAAGACAGTTTAGGGTTGAAAACCATACATAATTATTAATTACATTAGAACCCCACATTTGATCTTAATGCATTTGGGACACTCGTCAAGGGGCGTTGCCCCTTGGATCCCCACAAGGGGAAGTCGTACCGGGATCAATATAGACTAATGTGCACTCCGCACTTCCCACTTTGTATTAAAACTAAAATATATTCCCTTTTGAAACATGTATAGATAACATTACATAAAATGAACCAGTGACACTAAAATCACCAACAATCCTCCCCCATTTTAGTGTAACTATGGACTTACACAAAAACAATTTAACACATCAAAACTTGCATATAAATGAAAATGTCGAATCGATTGAATTTTCATATTAGTAGTTTACACATTTCAAATATTCGAGAATCGAGGTGCCCTAAGGATTAAACCCGCCAACACATTTGAATACCTGATAAAATACATACAAGCTTACAATTCTCAACTAGTCTAAATAACCTGATACTATTATTAAGTTGTGTGTCTTAATCCTCTCATGAATGTATAAAGGCCATGTCCATAATGTTTTGAAGCGCAACTACACTTCACAATCAAATAGGTAATTCCTTTATATCATGTACTTGCAAAACACTTTTTCAAAGGATTTATTAAGAAGTTAAACTTTAGCCTTACCTACTGTAGTACCGAACACATATCTGGGATGATTCATTATGTGTTCCAATATACAAGTGCGAGCTTTCCACATTGTATTAGAAGGGAATTGGATGTCTCACCATTATAGAATTAAATGGACTTTAAACTCCTCCCAATAACAGACTTGTGCACTAAGTCTCTTGCCAAACTTTTAGTCAAATGATCTGTCAAGTTCTATTGCATTCTCACAAACGCAACCGAAACTACATCATTCATGATTAATTCTCTAATCATGTTATGTCTAACACCCAAGTGTCTAAACTTGCCATCATACACTTGGTTATATGCATTAGCCAAGGTAGCAACACTATCACAATGGATAGAAATATGTGCAATCGGTTTTGGCCATAATGGAATCTCATGAATCAAAATTCTCAACACTCTTCTTCTTTACCAGCAACACTTAACACAACAAATTCAAATTCCATTATAGAGCTCGTAATGCAAGTTTGCTTCTTGGAAGTCCAAGAGATGGCTCCTCCCCCCAGTAAGAATACCTAAACACTTATTTAGGAATGATCCTCTAAGTATGAAATCCAACTTGCATTCGAATACCCTTCTAGGAACAAAGAATATCCCAAGTAACTTAAACCATAATCATCGGTTCCTTTGAGATACTTAAACACTCTTGTAATCACATGCCAATGTTGAGTACTAGGATTACTAGTATATCTACTCAATCTTCCCACGACATATGTCATATCAAGTATGGTGTTTGTCATTGCATACATCAAGCTCCCAGTAGCCTTTGAGTATTCCAATTATGAAATAGGCTTGTTGGTATTAGGCATCAATTTCACACTAGGATCTATATGAGTACTCATCGGAGAACAATCACCAAAGTTAAACTTATTGAGAATGTTCTCAATATAATGTTATTGTATCATAACAATCCCTTTTTTCATCCGTTTAATCCTTATCCCAAGGATTACATCAGCCTCCCCCATGTCCTTCATGGAAAACTTAGATGCCAACAATTTCTTTGTGTCATGTACTTGATCTTGGTTCGTATGAAAGATCAACATGTCATCCACATTACAAACAAATAATGACACCCGGATCAGTAGCATCAAACTTACTATAAACATATTTATCATATTGGTTTAATACACACCCACTTGATAAAATCACATCATCAAACTTTTGATGTCATTGTTTAAGCACTTGTTTCAGCCCATACACATATTTCACAAGTTTACAAACCTTATTCTCGTTTCCTGGCATAACAAAACCTTCCGGTTGTTTCATGTAAATTTCTTCATCAAGTTCACCATTCAAGAAGGTTGTTATCACATCCATATGATGAATTATCAGACTGTATATAGCTGCTAAGGCAACCAACAGTCTAATGATAGAAATATGTGTCACTAGAGCATAAGTGTCAAAATAGTCAATACCACGTTTTTACCTAAACCCTTGAATGACTAACCGAGCTTTAAACTTATCAATGGTTCCATCAACTTTCATTTTATTTTTGAATATCCATTTGCATCCAAGTGGTTTAGAATCTGGAGGCAAATCTGATAACATCCCAAGTGTTATTCTTGAGAATTGAAGATATTTCATCATAAATTGCGTCCTTAAAAAAAACATCTTGAGACTCCATAGCCTATTAAAATTTCTTAGGATCATCTCCTATGTTATAGTAATAATCATATTGAGAGCCAATTTCATCTCTCGATCCTTCCACTAAATATACATGAAAGTCAAAACCAAGACCTTTGGCTATTTGGATTCTTTTGCTTTTCCAGATCTCTTGTTTTTCCGGTTCAACAAAATCATCCAATTTTCCTAGATTTGGCACTTTACTGGTGCTAGGAATCAGATCCTTAGGCCGAACCATTGATGAAAACCACAATTCATTAAAAATCGCATCACACGATTCAATCACTATGTGAATCGACACCGAATCATTAGGTTCCATTACATAGAACCTATAAGCCTTGGAATGGTCAACATATTCAATAAAGATACAATCAATTCCATGTTCATCCACACTCTTTCTTTTGGGTTCAGTTAACTTGAATAGAGGCTTTGTAGCGTACATAAAACATGAGACTCACCATATTTATCAACCGTAAAATAGGGGAAGACGGCGGGGTGGGTGACTTACGAATCTGAACCTTGTTCAGTTACTTTCTTTCTCTGTCATGGGGTTGTCAAATGAGTCACCAAAGATGAGGGCTACTGCTTGAAGGAGTGGACGGTAGGAAGGGACACTGATTAGAGGTGGGTTCTAGGGTTCTAGAGGTGGAATTCATTCGACCATTGAAATCGCACCATGAAAAATAAGAAGAATTGTCCCTTTGTATCAACATGAAGCATGTTTCAGTTACATCACAGGTTGACGGGTAGAACAAATGGCCGAAGGTTAAGGGAACGAAGGGAGAAAGTTTCAGTTGTAATCTTTTTCAAATTTTTACTACCTAATTTCTCGTAAAGCCTATGGTTAAAAAAAACCAAAAAAAAATTCATGTTCTTTTACTGAATTGCCCAGTACCGACCATTTAATTAAATAAAAACTATTTAGCTTTTAAGAAAAACCAAAATTAGCTTTCTTAATCACAACCACTGATTTTCTTGATCTAAAGGTTTATATTGGTTCTTTTGTTCTCACATTATTTAGTGTTTTTATTTGAACTTAATTCTCTCTCTCTCTCTCTCTCTATATATATATATATATATATATATATATATATATATATATATATATATATATATATTGCTTCGTCAGAAACCACCACAATCGTTGGTTTCCAACGTAAATGGTGGTGGCGACGGTGGTGGTTTCCGACGATGCCCATGGTGGTTTCCGACGATAGCGGTGGTTACCAAGGATTGCGGTGGTTTCTAACGAAGAAGTATAGAGAGAAAGGGAGAGAGAGAGAGAGAGAGAGAGAGAGAGAATCTTAAATGTGTGGCGGGGATTGGGTTTAATAAAGAATGGAGGGTTGATAAAGGATTAGGGGTAAATATTCTAAACCATAGGGACCATTCGTATAATTACTCTAAAAATAATTGTAGTGATGTGATGTCATGCTTTCATTGGTTTCGGTATTTGTTGTCATAATCATGTATTTTCTAATGAACACTCACCTATATATATATATATATATATATATATATATATATATATATATATAGGGCTAGGTTATTTTGTTTCTTACATTTATTGTGTGCTAGAATGCACCAATAGGAATTTAGTAAATTAAATAATTATTTAATTATATAAATATAGATATTAAATGATTTCCATAATTATATGTATATTAAATGATATCCATAATTATAATTTTCTTTTTATGGAAACTAATTAAATTCGTCATTAATGTCAGCAATAACATTCTTTCAGAATGAATTCGCATCTAGGTTTTTATATATGAGTTCGTATTTTGTTTTAGGACTCACTCACTTAAAATACAATAAAGTTACATTGAATATGAAGAACGATAGTGTATTCTATTAAAATACACTCTCATTCTGCTAAAATACACTCTCATTCTTCTAGATATGAATTCATTCTGAAAGAATATTATTGTTGACATTAATGACTAATTTAATTAGTTTCCATAAAAATGAGTTATAAGTATGGATATCATTTAATATACGTATAATTAATACTAAATTCTTATTGGTGCATTCGAGCACACAATAGATGTGAGAAACATTTGAACCTACTTCTCTCTCTCTCTCTCTCTATATATATATATATATATATATATATATATATATATATATATATATATATATATATATATATACATCATGGTTCTAAAAAACTCGACACGGTTTCGCCATTGCACGTCGTGGCTCCAAGTCATTTAACAAAATGTCGTCTTAAGTTATTTATGTATATAAAAATGAATAATAGTCAAAAATACATATAAAAATATTAGTAATATACAAAATTACCACCTTAAGTCGTGCCTTACAAACGACGTGGCTCGCCAAGGTTTGTAAAACTTGAGGCTTGACATTGCCGTCAAAGTTACGTTTTACGTTATTTAGAACCTTGGTGTGTGTGTGTGTGTGTATATATATATATATATATATATATATATATATATATAATGTTATAATCTTTCATGTCCATAAAAAAGAAATAAGAAGTATTAAGAAGCCCATCTAAACATTTTTATAATAATTAACCTATAAATATACAGAAAAAGTTATATTTAGGGTCACTTTTTTTTTTTTTTTTTTTTTTGCGCAGACATTTAAAATTTGGCACCCTCTGAGGGCTTACCTGCTATGAAATTAACAAAATTCGGTGGTTACTTTATCCGCCTTTATTTTGAACATAATTAGTGGTTGCAAACAATTCTGCTTAACATGTGTTTAAGATCTCATTTATTATTCAATTGACAGACATGTGCAAGAGAGTTTAGTTGCATTTTAGTTATACATCTATAACGTCTCTCATGGAAGGAGTACAACACTTAAAAATTTCACTTGACGACATAAAGTTGGCCACCAATAACTTTGACGATAATAATTTTATTGGACGAGGTGGATTTGGGAACGTCTACAAAGGCCAAATCACCCTATCTGGACAGCTCAACACTGTTGCTGTAAAGAGGTTGGACCGTGCTATGGGACAAGGGGACCGAGAGTTCTTGATGGAAATTCAAATGCTTTCGTGCTATAAACACAAAAACCTCATCTCTCTTATTGGGTTTTGTGTCGAGGGTGGAGAAAATATCCTTGTGTATGAGTATGCAAAGCATGGAAGCCTTGACAAATATCTAAGTGACTCTAACCTCTCCTGGATACAACGTCTCCAAATAAGCCTTGGTGCAGCCCGCGGTTTAAATTACCTTCATGATGATGTGGGACCCCAACATAGGGTTCTTCACCGCGATATAAAGAGCTCCAACATTCTCCTAAATGAGAATTGGGAAGCGAAAATCTCAGATTTTGGATTGTCAAAAATAGGCCCTTCAAATGTTGAGTTCACTTTTCTCGTCACTAGTGCTTGTGGCACCTTCGGCTATGTTGATCCACAATATGTAAGAACCGGTATTCTAACAAAGGAGTCTGACGTGTATTCGTTTGGCGTAGTGCTATTTGAAATATTATGTGGAAGGTTGGCACTTATTGAAAAATATCAAGATGAACGTCGGTTTCTTTCTTCTCTGGCCCAAGTGTATTGTGAAGACAACAGATTAGATGAGATCGTTGATCCCAATCTCATGAATCAAATGAAAGTAGGTTCATTAAAGTTGTTCTCAATGGTTGCATATCAATGCTTGAGAGAAAATCGAAGCGAACGCCCAACGATGGGTTGGATTGTTGAAAACCTTGAGAAGGCATTGGAGCTTCAAGTAAGTTTCATAAGAAAGACTCTCAAATTATTGTTATTTTAACTCTCTATTTCCACCTTTGACCTTGAATAATTATATATTTCCTTTGATGCTAGGATTCTAGCAAAGGATTTATTCGAGTAGGAACTTGGGGAAGAAGAAGAAGTGAAGATCCTCAAAATAAGTGGTCTTTTGAACTTGAGGAAGGCCATAACCTGGTGAAGATAACTATTGACCATGGTGATGGAATATACGCTCTTATGTTCACTAGTGAATCTGAAGGTGTTTTGCACGATTCCGACAAGTATGGTGGTTTGGCAGGTGGAGAAACAGTTTCCGAGGTAAGTTGATCTTAATTCCACAAATCAATATGTATGTCTTTTTGTAACATAATCTTTGTGCATGGTGGCTTATTAATCAGGCAATATTGGAAGGTGATGAGGAAATAAATGGCATTAATGGGACCATTGGTTCTCGAGATGGTTTTACAATAATTTCGTCACTATCCTTTCAGACGAACAAAAGGACCCATGGACCTTTTGGTCGAGCAACAGAAACTGTTTTCTCTATACCATGGGATAAAGGCTCGTTAGTTGGGTTTTATGGCCTTGCTAGTTATTACATTGATAGCATTGGTATATATGTAAAACCTAATGAGGAAATCGTAAGGGTTGGAACATGGGGCAAAACTCAACCTGGAAGTCCGCATAACATCTGGGATCTACAACTGAAGAACAATCAACAGTTGAAGAAAATAACCATTAATCATGGCGATAGCATAAACTTTCTCATCTTCACCACAACATATAGAAGCTTAACACACACCAAATCGACTGAAATAGATCAGTGGAATCTTTATGAAACAGTTTCGGAGGTAAACATTTCATAACTCAGACAAGTTAACATATGAAATCGTTAAAAAAAATTATTCGGATTTTCGGAAATGCATGTTTCTCAAGACATGTGTGATATATAGAAAACAAACATGACTGTTATATGATCCTCATAAGCTTTTACTACGCTGTTTGTAAGGTAATAAAAAAACTGGTTAAAAAACTACATATTGTGATAAACTTTTGGTAAAAAACTAAAACCATTAACAAGATATAAATCACAAATACATGTCTAGAAAGACTGTTATGGTATTTTATCAACCATAACATTGTGCCAAATGTCAGATATACATGTGTAAATATCAGATATATCATATATCATTATGTCTTATGACACGTATAATCTTAGTTTTATCATGAATAACAAACTACATCATTCTATGTATTGATTCTACATAGTCTATTATTCATTTTCTAATTTTCTCCATTTTGCTATAATTTTCTAAGTTATACATTGTTTGTTACTTTTTCCATTGTCCAATCAGGTAATATTTGATTGTAATGAAGAAATAAATTCCATCAGCGGAACAATTGGGTTATCAAGAAACGGTTTCAGAGTAATAAAGTCGATATCATTTGGGACAAACAAAAAAACCCGTGGACCTTATGGTAATATAAGAGGGGAGCATTTCACGGTATCATTTGATGATGGTTCTTTTGCAGGATTATATGGCCTTGCTGGCGGTTATCTTGATAGTATTGGTGTCTATTTGAAGACTATAGTATGAGATGAGTGGAAAATATATTTATGTTTTCATTAGATTTATGATGCATATTATGTGGGTCGAGTCTTTGTTAACATCTTTATACATTGTTTTTATATTGTGGATTTGATAATCATGGATCTACCGTGTTGTGTTTGTATGTGTTATAAAAAATGACATTGCATTTCATATACCTATTTCAGAGATAGGAGAGAGGTCAAAAGTGAGTAGGCGCTCATATGGGAGCAGGAAATCTAAGGTTAGTGGTATCCAGAGAACAATAATACAACAAGTTCTTAAACTCCAAATGTCACAAGATCCACTAGAGAAACAAAAATCAAGTTAGACGCTTTCCATCACTTGATTATTTTCTATAGTTCAAGAATCATGAGCCAGAGCCTTGTCCAAAGTCATTGAGAATAAAAGACTCCTTGTAGTGGAAGAAAGTTATAGAGGATGAGACGAGTTCACTTGAAAGAACCAAATGTGGTCTTTGGTAAAGTTACTAGCAAAGAATAAAGCACTACAAATCAAGTAGGCATTTAGGGTAGGGATAAACATGACGACAATAAAATATACAAGGCTATATTGGTGGTTAAGAGATTCCAATAAAAAAAGGATTTGATTCAAATCTTCTCTCCGGTAGTGATTATGACTACAATGAGATTAGTTTGAGCATTTTGGTTGTATAGGACTTGCATATGGAATAGTTAGATATAAAGATAACATTCTTACAAAGAGACATTAAAGAAGATGTCTACATAGAAAAAACTAAATAATTCTAGATATCCGGAAATGAGAAAATAGTGGTTGAGCTAAAGAAAAGCTTGCAAGGATTATTGCAAGCACCAAGTTAATGGTATTTAAAGTTTGATAGCCTTATATAATGAGATGAACTCGATCACTATTGGTGTTATAAAATAAATGAGCTTTGATACAACTTGTTATAAAAAGATCAAATATTAATGCGGAAAAGCGTAATAAACCAACCACACGAACACCACAATATAAAGTGGAAAACCCAAACCGGGAAAAAAAAACCATTATGAAAACGACACTCTTATTAAAGGGTTACATGGCTAATAAATCTCTAAGGAGAGATGGGTGAAAATAAGATGTTGGAATGATAATAAGACATTTGTATGACTTTATATAAGTGCCTTAAAAAGATTCCTAAATAAACTCTAAAATCTGACAAATAGAAAACATTCTTATTAGATAGCTAACTTAATAGCCAAGTAAATAAGGTTTAGGATCATTATCAACAACATGGGAGGAGCCCATGGCATTTGGCAAGACCCTGGGAGCCCATGGCATTTGGCAAGACTGGGAAGAGCCCATGGCGCAGGGATATAAAACCATGGGGGTAGCCCATGGCATTCCAATGAAGACCATGGAGGGAGTCCATGGTAAACTTATATGTGTATATGTGTGCATGGTATTATGTGATTATATGATTTGTGTGTGTTGGGAAACTCACTAAGCTTGTGCTTACAGTTTTATTGCATGTTTCAGGTACTTCTATTGATAAGGGCAAGGGCCCGGCTTGATGGCGCGGCGTGCATTCTCCAGTGTTTTCACATTTAGTTTTCGTACTCTGGATTTTAAAATAATATGGATATGTAATGGGATTTTTGGACACATTGTGGTTGGTATTTATGAAATTAAAAGTTAAAAATTTTCTATAAAAATTTGGGTTGCTACAAGTTGGTATCATAGCCTTGGTTTTAGGGATTCGGGCACACTTCTGGGTATGTCAGAACTCAAACTGAGGAAATGGTAACAAATTGCTTTTCAAAAAGAAACCAAAGTTAAATTTCCTGAAAACAATTTTGTAAGAAAAAGGGGAGAATGCAATGCGCGTAATCGGCCGAGCTCAAGTAAGTGTTCCCAATGTTTTAGTCATGCTATAGTATATATGGAAGTTAAAGTTGCATGGATTATTTGCTAAGTGTATGTTTTCAAAGTTTTACATGCTTAGGGTTGCATAGCCCTAGAATGAGGGAATTTGTCATATTCTTGTTCCTTGTTTGGTTGTGGTTTAGGGTAGAAGCTTTATTTGACAGTCTATGTGATTCTCTTTATGTATAACTTGCATGCATAGGGCAACCTATTATGATTAATCTGAGTTTCTGGTTTGGTGAGGGTTGAGAATCCTAGAGCACTCTAGGACCTGAGTTAGTGTTGTGTTTATGAGTCATGATTTGTGATTGGATGATTTAGGGGTATTAGGTATGGCCTTGGGGAAGGTACAGGTAGGTTTGGAAGGTAGTATTGGGGTCGTACTACTGAAAGCACAGGACCTGTACCCAAAAATCAATGATAGGCCTGATAGTTCTTAGGAGTCCGGTGAGGAGAAATCTCTTTCGAATTCCTTATCTTTGTTAATTGTGACATTTTCAGTTGAGGATGGTGATGATCACGCGAGGTTCAGGTTCAGGATCAGGTTCAGGTTCAGGCTCCGGTGCAGAGCCCATTGATGAGAGGTTGCGCAATCTT